CGCAGGGCCCCAGGAGCGCCGCGGTGGGGGTGAACAGGCGCCGGCAGGATCATGTCACGTAAACACCTGGGGACAGCGGCGGGAGGCGTAGGCAGGGCCGAGGCCGCGGCAGGTCGATTCCTGGGCAGTGCCCCCCGACTCTCACGAGCTCAGTGCAGGGGGGCAGCAGCAGCGTTTTTACCCCCGTAGCTCCATTTACAAAGGTTTCGGCTGAAATGTCACAGCCGTCCGTCCGCCCCGCGGGAGACTCTGGAGGATGCTCCAGTGGTGCTGGGAGAGGGAGAGCGCGGGGGAGCTTCTCCGAAACCTCTCTGCATCCCCGTGCACCCTGACACCCCGCAACGTCTGCTCTACGGAAAGGCCATCGCTTCCCCAGCCTCGCAGCAAACCGTCTCCTGCTGCTTTGGCTCTCGCCGTGCCCGTCCCTGCAGCCGAGGGGCAGCCGGGGCTTCGCCTCTCGGCCTCTGGCGGCTGCAGGTTCCGGAGAGGTGGGTGCCCGCGCCGGGGAGCGGCTCCTGCCAGCCCCCTCCCGGCACAGGAGCTCCCGCGGCCCCCCGGCAGCAGGAACCAGAGCGGCTTCCTGGAGACGCTTTCCAGGCAGAGTTTGATCCTGATATTTGTTGCCAGTTTGGGGAATGCGCTCGGGAAAAAAAAAGAAATGGAAAGTGTGTCACGCCATCACACAGCTCTCCCCTTGCCGTGCGCCGGGAGAAATGGCCGTACACAGGCAGCTCCTTCCATAATTTACAGCTACTGTAGGAGAGATGACATATCGAAAGCTATCTTCTATAATTACACTGAAATACATTTTTTGCTGTAGGCAAAAGTACTGTAAGGGTCCCAGGCCTCCCGGAGCAGCTGGGAACCTGCTTCCTGAGTTCACAGATGTCTACTGAATTCACCCCAAATCGGGCTGAAGTGTGACTGCTCGGAAGCCACCAGCAGCCCACGGAGCGCTGGCTGGCACCGCGCCCCTGAAGACTGTTTTGGGCCATTTCCTCTCTTTTTCTTGCACTCGTCTGAGGAGTCTTGATGAAGCATTAAAGCTAGCAGGAGCATCCCTGCTCCTACAAGGTTTCTGAGCAGGTTAACAAGGCCATCACTTATAACCTGACATTATTAATAATGTCTCAGGAACCAAGCAGAGGCCTGAAAAATAGTCCTGAAAAAGGGATCAAGTAGCTCGGACGCTATAAATAAACAAGAGAAAACAAGACAAAGCATCAGAGTCTTCTGAGCTTACTTCCACTCTGCTGCACTGAAGTAGCTCTGCGAATGGGAGGTGCTGGTGAAGACAAATTAAAGCCAGGCTCTCTAAGTAGCTGTAACCAAACTAAGTTTCATCAAACAATTCGTGTAAATTCGAGGAAAGATTTTTGCTTCTTGAAAGCAAGAAACTCAGTTTAGCTTTGAAGCATCCTATTTTTGGTAGGATATTTGTGGAGAAGTATTTCTCGTAGAAAAGACGCGTCTGAAAATACTTTTAATGCAACAGTTGCCGTTTTTATTGTGTTTTAAAACCGGATTCCCCACATCTGCAAACAAGGGGGCGCGTGGCAAGATGTTGTGTCTTGAAATGTTCTTTCGGTGCCCAGTCCCTGGGTTCACTCTGTCTCTGGGACAGACGCTCTTGGCTCGGGGAGGGAGTTGCTGCATTTCGGTGCCTGCGTTACCTTGCCCCTGCTCATCGCTTTCCAGGGGAGCCAAAGCTGGTGCTGTTGCCGGGGGTCGGAGGGCTGAGCCGGAGCTTGGGCGCGCTGAGGCTGTGCAGGCAGCGCCACGGGCAGTGCGCGGGGAGGAGGCGGCGGCGGTGCGGTGACACCGGCGGGACCCGGCACCGGTGCCCGGCTGCCTCCCGGGTCATGGCAAGGCCGCTGCGCTTCCCGGGGGGCTCGTCCTGGGAGGATTTGAAATGCGTCCCCGGGAGAACTCCTGCCCTGCCTGGGCAAGAGGAGGGTGGCCAGGGGTGCTCAGGGCAGCGTCCCCATCTTCACTGTGGGCAGAGGGGACGGCGGCTGGTCTCCTCCGCAAGCTTTGCTGCCTGAAACGTCGAAATAGGGAGAAAGAAAATATGCAGATGGGAAGAGAGGATGAGGTGTGTCGAACTCCTTAACCTGGAGCTCAGAAAGTCTTGAGGAAGGCAGAGAGCGGCCGCTGGCGGGAGGAGCCGTCACGTCTGCGCTGGTGGGAGCGGTGGGGAGCTGGTGTAGAGCCATGGTGAGTGGTGTAGAGCCATGGTGAGTGGTGTAGAGGTGCCGAGCTGGCGTGGAGCAGCGGTGAGCTGGCGCAGCCTCCGTGGCACCGTGACCTCGGCGTGCTCGGCGATGGCAGGCGAAGGGCGTCTGCACGGAGAATCGCCGGAGCGCTGCCTCCAAACGGGCGCTGCAAGGATGTAAATTAGCCTGTAATTTACTTTCAGTAGTGTAAAGAAAAAAAAAATCACTTTGCCTGAAGTGTATGCATCTTTCTTAAGGGTGTACCCAGATTTTAATTATCTAAATGTAAATACTTAACGAATTTTACTTAGAGTAATGAGCTAAAGTGCACACTACATAAATGAGATGTTCTAATTAATCATGTATGAACTACTGGTTTAAAGAAAAGCTATGTGAATTCTGCGAATGTTGGGCTATTGCCAAATTGCTAATCAGCATTTGCATTCATAGATGGCTTCACTTAATAAGTTGTGAGACGTTCAGCAAATGTTATAGGAAATTATGAGTTTTTAGATGCATAAACTTTTCACTTTTAACTCCTTCCCTCGCACAATCTATTGAAATACAGGAGAATCCCCGAAAACGTAGTTGTCGGACAAATTACGCAGATATTTTTCGCCCTGGCTTTAGAGGAGGAAGGGGAGCTACAATCAGATACGTAACATAGGGTCTGGACGAGGTACTTGCAGTGTTTCTGTGATTTACTGGCAGTTGAGCGTCATGCTCGTCGCCCCTTACGTTAGATGCACGAGAGCAAAATCCTGTGCGCTCCTCGGCCGCGGTCGCAGCCCCGCGGAGCGTTACACTGGGCGGCCCTTGCCCCAGCCCCGCACACCCACCTCGGCTGGTGAGGCCTCGGGGAGCAGGAGCAGTTTGCCGAGGCCGGCACCGCGCCTGGCCCTTCTGCGCTCCCCGGGGCTCCGTCGGGACGGGGGTAGGTCGGTGCCCAAAATGTGCCCGAAAACAGGCTGGCCCCTGGGAAGGGATTAGCCCCGTGGCCACCACCCAGCTCTGCCTAGCAGCCAGCAGTCCCGGGGTTTCTTGTTGAAAGAGATAAGGGAGGCAGAAACCAGCAGAGCTCGTGGCAGCTCCCCGCCTGCGTGGGGGAAGCCGGGATGCGCGTGACGGCGCGCGGCAGCTCGCGTCAGGTGGCGGCTGTCGGTGATGCAGCCTGGGGAAGTTTCTGCCCTCGTGTCCGGTCACCTGCGGGGTCTGGGATGGCTCGCCGTGCCTTCCCTCCACCGGTGCCTCGGCAGCGTGGTGTGGGCCAGGCTCAGGCTCGGCTTTGCTGACGCGGGGGCTCACGGACAAGGGGGGTGCGACCAGCTCCCGCAGCCACGCGCGTGCGGAGGGGATGGGGCCACGTGAGGGTCCCCTGGCCCCCCCCCAACAGCCAGGCCCGCGCTCGTGTCCTTGTGGGGCAGCACAGAACCGTTTCTGAGCCTTTGCTTCCTTCACAGGCGTGTAATGAATTTACCACACATGTGATGAACCTTCTCAGAGAACAGAGCCGGACACGTCCCATTTCTCCCAAGGAGATAGAAAGGATGGTTGGCATCATTCATCGAAAATTCAGCTCCATCCAGATGCAGCTCAAACAAAGTACTTGTGAAGCAGTAATGATTTTAAGATCAAGGTTCCTCGATGCCAGGTAAGGCGGAGGCGAGTGCCCCGGCTCCTTCTGGGGGGGAAGGGGTGATTGCTGGGCAGCACGGGGCGAGCCTGGCCCGGCTGGGACCCGCTGGGAGAGGCTGCTCTGCCCCAGCACAAGCCCAGGGCCCTCGTCCTCACAAACAGCAGCGTCATCCTCCATGTTTTAGTGCAAAGGCTTGTTCACCTGCTCGCCTGGGAGTCGCATGGGGTTCGTGCGAAGGGCAGTTGTGTCACCCCGGCAGTTATGGAAACAGCTGCTGGTGCCGATGTCTCGCAGCCTAAGACCGACCTCGCAAAAACCCTGACCCCGTCCCCGAGCTCCCCGGGAGGGACGTGCCCAGGGGCTGCGGCTGACGCCGGGGGAGCGGCCGCACGCCCGAGGTGGGACAGGCGACCACGCTGCCGAAAGCCACATCTGCTGGCCCATCTCCCAGCAAACCGTCGCCTGGCCGGGGCGCGGGGGGAGGCAGCCCCTTCCGAAGCCCTCACAGCCAGCACGGCCCCCAGAGTGGGCCGCGAGGAAGCAGGCGGGGGTTAGGAGGGGGTCTGCAGGCACAGCCAGATCTGTTGGGAAGCCCCGGCGGGTTGGGGGTGTCGGGCCCCAGCCCTTCGGCAGGGCTCCCCTCCGCAGAGCAGGACCCTGGCAGCTGGCAGAGCCGGGAGGAGCAGCAGGCACCACGCAGAGCCTCCCCTCAGCAGCGAGCTCATGCTTCACACCTGAAAGCTGTGAGGAGCTAAACAAGAGCAAAATAATTTTATTAACAAGGAGGTCACTGGCAGGTGTGGCAAATTAGGGTAATTACAAACAGTTGGAGGAAACGTCTATGGAGAGCTCCGGTAACTGCAAAAGGTAAAGCTTGCAGATGCACATTTTAAAGTGATTTCTTTAAAAAGGAGGAAGGTAAATAAGGCAAAATGAGCGGAAGCACAGTAATGAGATAAACATAGCTCTGGGGAGAGAGCCTGCCTGCTCCAGGATCCAGCGTAGTTAGCAGCACCGTGATACCGCTGGCAGAGAGCGCTGGGGCTTGCGCTGCCCTCGGGCGCAGGCAGTTTGATTGCAACCAGCCCCGAGGGGAAGGGAGCTCGGAAGGAAATGTTTAACCCGTGCTGTCGGGGGGGAGTTCTGGGGAGAAGGAGAGGGGCCGACGTGGGCTCGGAGTTCAGGCCCCGCAGCTGCGCAGGCGCTGCCAAAGGCTTCGCTTTCCGCCCAGGCTGCGGGGCCGCACGCCTCGGAGCCTGTCCCCGAGGGCCCGGGGCCCCTCAGCCCTACAGGTGGGGGTCCCTCGGGGAGCCCCAAAGGCCGCTCGCCCACGGAAGCCATCAGCTCCTCGGCAAGGACGCAGCAGCGGGGCCGCCCCGTCCTCCTGCGCCGGGCGCGGGAGCCGCAGCTGACCCGCGGCTGCAGGGAAGGAGGCTCCTTAGGCCGCCCTCAGCGCGGGGCGGTTTAGCAGCTGGGCCCAGCCTGGGGTGCAGGCTTGGGTGTGAGGGGCACCCCGGGCCCAGCTCAGCGCCCTGCCTCGCCTTCTGCTGCGTCGTGTTTTCTGCCGTGGCACGCAGCGGGGTCCGTGTGCCCGCGGGGTGAACCCCCCCGCAGAGACAGGTCCCTGCATGGCCAGATGCGGGTGCTGTAGCCCACCACGCAGCGCCCAGAGCCCCGTGGGCTACCCCAGAGGGGTCAGGGCTACCCAGTGGGTGCTGTCTGTGTTGCTGCGTGCTGCAGCATGGACACGTGGCACAAGGGTCGCTCCCACCCCGTCTGACCCCGCCGGAGCCCTGCGTGCGTCTGGAGGAACAACCGTGGTTTGCTTTTCTCGTTTCAGACGGAAAAGGCGTAACTTCAGTAAACAAGCCACAGAAATCTTGAACGAATATTTTTACTCCCACCTCAGTAACCCCTACCCCAGTGAAGAAGCCAAAGAAGAGCTGGCAAAGAAATGCAGCATCACGGTATCGCAGGTGAGCAGCGGGTGGGTGCGAAGCTTCGGCGCCGCCGGGCTCCGGGGTGGGCGTGCGGCGTGGAGCCTGTCCCTGCCCTTCGCCACCCCTCGAGGCTGGCATCGCCGCCCTGGCGTTCAGCAGGGTGAGGGAACGCGGCTGAACTCCGCAGGGAAGGCAGCGGGCCTGTGGTGCCGGGGGGGGGAAAGTGTGTGTGTGAGGACAGAAACACTGAGGCTGCACGGTTGGACCCGCGGCTTTCTGCAGTGCGATTCCTTGCTGAACCTGCCTGGCCGTTACGAATTCATTACAGCTTACCGTGATTTCAGGGGAAGGCCAGTTTATTGACAAACATATAATCTATCTCTATAGATCAAAATTTCTTTGATTGCTTGAAGGTTTTTTTTTTAGTTTGGTTTTTTTTTTTGAGCCAGACAGAAATTCAGCCTCTTGATACACTGAAGTGACGCCAGGGGTTTCTCTGTAGCAAAAATGTTTTAGGCAGGTTTGCTCCTTTTATCACGTATAACAGAAGTTACTGTGAAGTTAATGCAAGAAAACCGGCATCTCCCTAATGGGGGGGACACAGCGTCGCTGGCTGCTCTCTGTCCAGGCCAGGGGACACCTGCAGCGACGTTCAGCCGATGGCGCCGCTCCGTCGAGCTTTCCTCCACCAGAGAGCTTAAAAAGCAAACCAACCCTTCGCATTTCTTTGTGGCCTGTATGTTTGCTAGAAAACCAGATCGTTGCCAGAGCAGATCTGGCTCCCGCCGCTCGGAGGAGGTCGCACCCGGGTGGCAGGGAACGCTCAGCAGCAGTTCCCCAGGTCTCCCGCCGCCCCGCTGCCCGCTGCGAGGGCCCGTGGGCCGTCTCCTCCCAGCTCCAGCGCCTGCACTTATCAATATTTCAGGTCCTTCAGAGGAACGATGCCTGCGGCGAATGTGTTAACTATTAATGATTGCAGGCTGCCGTATTGGCATTATTAGCAATGCAACCTTTAGCTTTATAATTAAGACCTGAGTTGAGATTTACTTTATAGGTCTCCCTTGAATGCATGAAAAATTCAGGCACTTATTGAAGACTTTCAGATGAACGGCGGCCCAGCTCCCCCAGCTCTGACGTCACTCCTTGGGGGCACCCTCAGTAGTCTCCCCCGACACGAGGGGCCAGCAGCCACGTGTGTGCCGTGCTCGTCCCTGGGCACCCCGCCCGTAGCGGGGCGAGGCGAGGGATGGGCATGGGGACAGTTTTGGTCCGTTTATGAGTGGCCATGGTGATGGGCGGGAATTCTGGAGGAGAAATTCAGCACCAAACTCGTTCCCCCTCGCTCCTCTATCGCTGTTGGCATCACACGGTGACCGCAGCCCTGGCAGGTACAGGGGCAGCCGTGGTGGCCACCAGCGGCTCTTCCGTGCCCACAGGCATCGCCGCGGCTGCCCGGACGTCTGGAACCAGCTGCCCAGCCTGGGAGCACACGAGTACCTGGGCACCTTGACCTGCAGCTCTGTCCTGCTGCTGGTTTCAGCCCTCTTAGCACGGGGTGATTTATAGTGATTCCTCCAGTAAGTGGTGTCCAAGAATCTTTCCCCGTGAGCCGAGGCAGCCTGCCGTGGAGTCAGGAGAGGCAACGCCATCAACACCAACTTGGGGAAACCCAAAGTTCTTCAGCTCTGCCGGCAGAATGTAACTGGGAGAGATTCCAGGTAAAGAGCACAACAGACCTGCTGCAGAGATGTTTTCTGCTTTGTGCCTGGCAGAGGAGGAGTTAGTGATCCCGCAGGGTGGACAGATAAAAAGCTAGATCGAGATAAGGCTGGAGTGACTGAAGGAAATGAGACGGAACATTTGAGAAGCCATAACTGATTGCTTCTAGTGCTAATAGATCTGATTTCTTAATTATCTGTTTGATAAGATTTAATGTACATGTTGTAGAACGAAATAAAAGGCAGGCAGATGGTCCAAAAACGCAGCGGCAGCAGCGAGCCTGTGACGTGACTGTAGGTTTGTCTCTTTAATATTTGATACAGGCATGGCTTAGTTGTGGTTGAATCCATTAGGAGGGCTGAGTGACGGTGGCAGGAGCTGCGTTGCGTCCCCCGTCGCGCCGCGCGCGGCCTCGGCTTTGCAGGGCGGCGTTTTGCAGCCGGGAGCGAGGGCAGCGCCGGCCACGCGCCCTGGGCACTGCCTGCGGGGCCGGGGCTGGGGCTGCAGCTTCGCTCTGGCGAGGGATTATAAATGGCTCGGAAAACCTCGGGATGACGGGAAAGCCTGCAAACGGGGCAATGTATCATCTCATGGGAGAGGAGCATGTATGTGAGAGAGGGAGTGCCTGTGATCAGCTGGCTGCTTAAGTTCCTGATAAATCTGCTGTCACAGCTAGAAAATGTGAATACTATGGATATCCTAATCTTTGATTTTCAAAGGCACTTCCAAAGGCTGCACGGTGGGACGGCGGGGTTAGTTGGTATTTACTAGGTCAAACTGGGCTGGAGTTGTCTCTCTTTGTACTGAAAAATGTATGTATTTTTGAGGCCATCTAGCAGAAAAGCTCTGAGCAAGCACTGTAAAACAGCCCGGTGCACACTGCTGTGGTGGTTGGCAGCAGAAGTCAGAGGATGCAATCCAGAAATCAGGGGTGAATTGAGCAGTCATTTAAAATACTGGCAGGAATAGCGTCGCGTGGGATAAGCAATGGCATCCAAGCGAGTGACTGAGCTACACCTTGCACAGGGCTTTTATGAAAAATCTCTGAGCGCACATATTTCCAGCCTCGACCAGGAGTCCCTTGGACATCGCCGTGCCTGGCACCGTGCCCTGTTTACCTCCCGTGCTACAAATGCCCCGGAGGTGCAAAGGCCTGGAAAATGGAAAGAAATAAAGGAAGTTAATGGATGGCTTTCCAAACTCCTGGAGGTTGTGGTTCATGTTTGATGAAGAGGCTTTGTCCTTTTTCTGGCTGAGCCAGGCTTCCCCTGAAGCCTCTCCTAACGATGATCCAGGGCGTTTCTTTCTTGTGCCGTCAGTGCCGTGTAAATGCTGGGGGCAGGTTCATGGCAGAACATTTCTCCCTCAAACACTTAATTAGTGTTTGGGGTCATCCTCCCCCCAGCTGAAGCAGTTTACTGGAAATCTTGCTGCCATAGCGCTTTACCAAGCTGCAGGGAAAATTGTCTCCCAGAATTGTTTAGTTGCAGATGGGAGATAGATGGTTCCAGTTTTGATATCGGTGTTTAAAATAATATGTAGAGAAGGTTTTTCAAGAAAAGAATAAAGACAAACTATTTATTAAGATGAACACCTCGCACAATTTCATTTTTAAGAGTATGGAAAAGGTAATTCTGGGGGGGGGGAAAAATGTCCTTAACAGAGAACATCGTCGGCTGTAATTTAGAGCTACCCGATCAGCACGTGTTTGAGGGAGATAAACTGTATCATCTGTTCTCCCCTTACCATGGCTGCGAGGCTGATGTTTTATACTTTTGCAGATGAGCCTCTTTCAGGGTGTCATGAACAACTATCAGTCTATCATATGGGCTATAGAAAGGGCATAGTCATTGCTGAAAGCATGTCAGTGGATTACAGCAATAAAATTTTTCACTGCTTCAAACAAAAGAAGGATGTGGTTGACAAGGGAATATATTTTAAATTCTTTTAAAGAAAGAATGCAGGAGCTGGTTTTCAACACCCCTCCTGCCCCTGCTGCTTCTGAGTCTGGTTCTGTAAGCAGATTGTACATCCGTAGCTCTCCCTGTCAGACTCGTACCCCTTGACTTCATGGAGGAAGCAAGGGGAAAAAAAAATTAAAAAAGACGCAAGCTTAATGAAAGAGTTTCTAGAGGTAAAATTCCGAGTTTTAGATCACGCACTGTAACCGTGCCGTGTTCGTTTTCAAAATTTTCTCTTTTGTGTCCCTTGATGAGGTGTGGAATATAAACTGTGTGCTGTGAACACTGGGAAACACAAGGGAGAAATGTCCGTGATCCATAAGTGTGTCGCTCCGTCATTTCGGCGGTGATGCTCCGGGTCAGCTGTGTCTCTTGCAGAACGAGCGCTGATTTATCCCGTGAAATCAGCCCGTGCGGAGGCACGAGGCAGGCCGGCCCCGTCCCAAATCCCACGTTAGGCATCTTGATGATTTCAGTAATAATTTATTGTCTTTTTATTTAACATTGCAATTAACATGATAAATAAGTGCAACAGTATTGTTTGAAATGTAATATACAATTAAGCCCAATTAATTAATCGGCCTTCAATGATCAGGAGGAGAAAGATGTTCATTGTTTTTTTATGTGAAGAGATAGTTTGTTTTAATGAAAAATGTGTTGTGGAGCAGCTCGCGATGGAGGCAACTTTCATTTTTTGGGTGAGCGTGGGGCTGGGCGAGGAGCCGGGGCCCGGTGGGCAGGGGAGGCGCCCGGCGCAGCC